TTTTAATTTCTCAAAAAAAAACGAATACTGAAATAAAGTCATTATTTATACAATCACTGATGTTGACAATACCAGCAGCATGTCAGTCTTGCTAAGGCCCCGAACAGACCGACTAATTCAAAGTGAATTAAAACTGAATTAACGAATAAATCGTCTCAAAAAGACGATTTAAATCGAAATAGACCAATCACGTTGCTTAATTTGTTTTATTTTTTTCGGTCTGTTCGGGGCCTAATAGTACGTGGTCTGATGAAATAAAACTATGAGAGAAATACCAATCAAAGTCATACGCACTATGGGTGGCGACATCTGGTTCTCGCAGAGACATCAGAGAACAAAGATATGACAGAAACTACTTAAAATAGACTCTCTTCGAAACTGTGTATTTGATTTTCGATTAAATCCAGTCCGTTTCAAGAGATGATAGGGGAGGCACTGGTTATCATAGAAATTAATCATTCAATGGCGTCACTTTGTGTTATACCAGCATCTATAGATTTACAAAATGATCATTTTTATAAAATAGATTTATCCAGTTGCATATAACTGAGTTTCATATGTTAAAATGTTTTTCGATTATAGGACAAGATAGTTCGTTACAAGTTTTCCAACAGCAGGTGTACACAGTATCTGCTAGCTTTGATTTACACTCTGATTTACAATTTGCTCAAAAATACAAAATGTACGCTGTACACTCTACTAAAAAGATTTGCACTTTGATTCTACAACGTTAAAAGCTGTATGTAATACTAACGTCAAAGAGAGACTTTTTTTGCAAAATAGTCGATTATGACCTTTCAATCTTGAGTAAAATTCTATCAAGCCCTAGTATGATTTCTTTTATTTTGTCTTCTCGCTATTTCTGCAGATAAATAATTACTTCTAATTCTCAAACGACTCTCTGCTTGTTATATTGTTATTGATGTTAGTAACAATTTTTTTCAAACACATTTCAGATTTATCGTTCATACGTAAAAATGTTAAAAGGATGGAGTCTTTATAGTTTCGATCTGACTTTAATTATCAGTATGAAGACCAAGGTAAAAATCGAGACAATAGATGTTTTGGTGAGATTGTAATTTGAAAAAAATCCTAAATTAAAATTGCTATATTTGTGCTATAAACTCAAAGCTTTTTTCTTAATTTTGTCTTCGTAAATGGACTGTCAGGTTCTGGGAGAATGCGCTTGTTTTTCATTCGTTTGATTACCACCTATTAATTTAAACTCATCATTAAAAACGTTGTCTTTTGTTTCTTATGTTGAAAAAACATTAGTTTTTAGTACATTTTGTTTTCGAATTCCATTGGAAACCCTGGCTGCTATAAACGATACGTCAAAAAACAGATGTCGTCACACAAACTGCTCAGTTTTTATACATCAGAAAGATTTAACATGATGATCTTCAATGACTCAGGATGAACTATTTTTGTGCAAAATATAAATTCTTAAAAAGTCGGTCCTACCGATCCACATACAAAGTGCATTAATGGATACAAATTTTGACTTTGATCTGATGATTCATGCATATGTGTCAATAGACTATAATAGTTGTCAATGTCATGAAGCTTATTTTATTTATTTATTTCTAGCATTTATTTACTGCTTTATATGTAGTATCTATTAATAATTATTTTTTCTTAACATTAATTATGTTTTTTCTCATAATGATGATTGTATTCTGTCTACTAACAAAAGTGTTATCTATTTCTTTTTTTTCCTCTTTCTTGTCGTACTGCTGTCATTGACAAACTGTGCACTTTATTAGATATCATTGTGTGATACATTTATTTCTCTTTCAATGAGTAAATATATTTTCAGGAGAAGATCGAATTTTTGACAATCAATTCTAATAAATTTCGGTTCTATATCAGAATTTTCAAGTTAATAAATACTTGTTTATCTAATCAGAAAAACTCGATAGAACTTATCTTACTATACAAATTATTATATGTTTTACTCTTTAAGATTTTCTTTTAATACATTAACTGATATTTAACAGGTGTATCTTCTATGATCATGTTAAATAAGATCTCGAAAAAACTTCAATTGGTAGATAAGACACCAAAATTTGATACTATGAAAAAGAGACAATCATTGATACTTTCCGATACTGTTCGCCGAGCTGTAGCAACATGTAGAGTATTGACGGAAAAGCGAGGTATTCATTCGCCGATTCAGATGCTTGCCGCTGGATTTCAATATACGGGTGACAGTGACACAGCTCGCTGTGAACATTGTGGACTTGAAGCATTCAATTGGACAGCAGAGATGAATCCGTTTAGTATTCATTCTGTAGAAAGTCCTCATTGTTCATACGTTCGCTCTATGAAATCATCATCACTATTGGTTGTACGTGAATCTTTCCTCTCGTCAACAATCGTTGGCCAGAATACATCAATATCAGATGAACAAGAAAATAGTTTTAAACGTCGAAAAATTGATTTAAAATCACGATTAAATAATTTATTTGAACCTGATTCACTTCAACAATACCGCAGACATAGCTTTGACGATTGGCCACACCATGGAATTCTATCAAGTGGATATATGATTCAAGCTGGGTTTATTAGTTGTGCTACTGGTGATCAAAGTGTATGTCCTTATTGTGATCTAATATGTGAACAATGGACACCATATGTAGACAATCCTAGTGAAGTACATAAGACACTTTCTCCTGCATGCTTATATGTTATAGAAAAATTAAGACTTGCTGAACCACCACCTATTATAAATGGTAGTACTAGTTCAGTGACAGCTAGCGTAAGCAATCCTATTCATGCGTCAAATAATACCCATTCACCCTTACTTAGTACATTTGCTCGTCCAGTTGTGCAAAATCAAAATCGCAGCGCCAATCATACACTGGTAACTTCTACCCCAGCGTGTCCTGTTGATAAATCACTCTCTATTGAAGAGCTGATTCAAGCAAACACCACATCTATGGTAGACCAATCTGATGTAAATAAATTTTGCTGCAAAGACTTATTAGAACATTGGGATCCAGATGATGATTCAAAGGTTGAAGATGATCGTTGGTTTCCACATTGGGCAAATGGTAAACAATTATATGGTAACGAATTGTACCGAAAAATTCAAAAAACGACTCGAAAACACCAACAATGTAAGCCCGAATATTGTCTTTTTATATGATCGATTTTCTGTTTGATTTTTTTAGTACGTGCTCATTTAAAGAGAGAAAACGAAAAGGTAAATCCTGATGTTACAAAAAATACCAATCCCAATCCAAATAGTCGACAATTATTCATGTCTAGTAAAAGACTTCTATCCATTGTTAGACGATGTTGGCAAAGACAATCACAAGGAAGACGTAGGATAATCGTTTAAACGACTTTTATCTTCACTAACCTTTTGTTTATTTAGATGAACGTTCAGTTTGTTATGGTGATTTATTAATTGCTCGTTTTATTCAACAAAAGCAAACAGAACTTAGGGAAAATATTATAATACCATCTGCAAAAATGAAACAAATCTCAGAAGAAGCAATAAAAAGACATCAAAGTATGTTTTTATTTTATTAAAAATTTTCTTTCATGATTTCTCTTGTATTTTATAGAAATAGATGGACAAAGACAAATATCAGTTGAATCTTGCGTTGTGTGTTTAGTAGAAGAAAGACGATTAGCTTGCATGCCATGTGGTCATTTGACAACATGTGTTCCATGTGGACATTCCCTGATATCATGCCCATTATGCCGACGAGAAATTGAAAAACTCGTTAGTATTAGGGTTAACGTCTAGATTTCGACATTCACGATTTGGATTTTTTCATAAGTAACATTAATATGTGACTATTACCAAGTGCTCTTGAATTTCGCTTGGAATGCAAGCTATATGGTACATTTTAGATATTTTTGAACAGTTTCTTTTTTAAATATTTTTTATTATAGTTTTTCACAGTTTCATTATAAGTCTCTAAAAGCAAAATATATTTTTAGGTGAACATGATGGTGAAACTCTTCTCAGTTTAGTTTTTTATGTATTTGTTGTATTGTTATTTATTTTGATTGTTATATATTTACTATGTGAAATTTATTTGATCTATCATCTTAATTAATTTAGTAGATCAGTGATGCATTATATAAATAAACTATTTCTTAGTGTATATTTGAAATTTGAAGATGAAAGCAAAAGAAAGGTCATGCATGTATTTCAATGATTATTAAAGATAGTCGTATTTATTCATTTGTTCTTTTATCTGGCAAATATTTTAATATGTACTCTATTGGTTTTCATACTATTCAGTGTCTTTCTCTCTCTCTCTCTGGTAAATTGTTGCATAATTTATCGAATATTGTTTTTATACATGCTTCGTGCACAATTATTCATGTCAAAAGTCTTATTCACCTTTTCCTTTTCTTTTAAATCATGAATCATATATTAAACAAGCGTGAGACTCAGAATGAATAATATTCATTTGACATTGCATTTTTTTTTTTATAATTTACTGATGCGGAATAGTTTTTAACAAATACTGTGAGAACTGAAAGCAGTATCTACTTGATTCTTTTTTAGTTGAACGCTTTGTTTTGATATTAACGTTCATTCAATGCAAAAAAAAAAGCTGTGTCAGTATTGATTCAGAAGAACTTAAAGGTAATATATGGTATCATCCAAATTTGAACAGTTCAGCATTTTGATATCATTCCTTAAGAAACTAAAAATTTTAGTGTGAATTTCACAAGTTTATTTTATGAAAACGTTGACGATCTATCATTGAAGTTCAAGTCAGATCAGTACACAAGTTCTTTAGGTGATAACAGTTCTTTAAAAATGATTGGTTAGACCGAACCTTAGAGAAATGAGTATTTCAAAAATTTTAAAAGAATTCGTTACAGAATAAATCCTATTAAAGTCGAATCTCAGTGTTTGAGTTCTTTTAGACATGTTTTACGGCACAATCAATGTAAATAAAAAAAACTTTACAATCATAGTGATTGGCTAAAAAAGTTCTAGAAACTTTGAAAGATTCATTGAATTTGGATGTAGCTATCAAACTCACTGACAAGATTTCATGAATATATTCATCTGCTTTTTTTGAATCAAGCGTATAAAATGGAATTCACAGAAATCAAACTCAACATCTATTCGCACTTCTTTATCAAGAGTTACACCGAATATAAATATCGTGACTATTAATAAACGACGTCACTCATATCAAAAAGAAACGAACATTTAATCGAATAATGAATAATGATAAAATACGTTTCGTTTCGAAGTGAAGAAGTGATGTAAATAAAAGCAATATACGTAGGCACTCCAATCGTTGTATAAAAATGACAATACAGCAATACTATATAATAGCACATATAAAGTATGCGATCAATATATTATTTGCTCAATGAGTAAATTGGTATTGTTAAATAATTATGTCTTTGTTTATCACCCTACATCTCACGAAATAATATTGCATGAGATTTAATTCAATTCCTAAGTAATAAAACAAATCTAGAAAGCGATAATGACAGTGTGTGTGTTGCTGGAATGTGGATCTAGATCTTTCTGTCATATATACCCACACCCATTTGAGTATGAAACAGTTGCCAAAAAGATTCACATACTTGTTTTTATGAAGCTTAATTGTTAAAGTATTTTTGATAGAATTCATCAAAAATATATATATTTACTGTAGTTAAATGAATAGACTTAAAATTCTATGCCTAATTGAATATGTGACAGTACATAGGAAACTTTAAACGGTTCGATTTCAAAAATTTCAACGTTGAATAACCAAAATACAACTAATTTGTTCTAATCAATTTTCTCGAAACTAACTAATCGAATGTTCACTATGACAATGATTTTATTTAATATCTATAAATGTGATATATTACTTTAATTGATGAAGAAACAGAACGAAGTAAAGGAGAAAATTTTCAACAAATTACTATTCTTTCGAAGTCTCTTTCTATCAAAATTCCATTTAATTAAATTTATTGTTGGCATTTTTGTATAATTTAGAAAAAAAAAGACACGTTATGTTAGTCACTATATCAGAATATTTCACTGAGAAATAAAACATAAGTTAGTTTGTTGACATAAGTTTTTTTGTTATTGTTTTAATAATTCTGTGATTTACTAACATCGATGAAGAACTAACTATTTCTTGTGTCAGTGTAATGCCTCTTTGAATATCACAAGTCCATTTTCCAGTTAAACTTGTATTAAGATACATAGTAGGTTCATCTTCAAATTCAATATTAGCTAATTGACTTTCATCAGTATGAATTAGTTTATAGTAAATTTTTCCAAATGAATTTATAATTGATATAGTCCAAATATGTCCTATTTGAATATCATCTTGAGGAGAACTCGGTTCAATTGGTGGTGGTATTATAACTCGTCCATTGATTGATGATAATTCAATAGGACAATTTATTGTTTGACTTTCAAATATTCAATAAGTTGTTTCTAATAATTGTTTGTGTTTATATCGATTAAATGGATACATTCGACTAGAATTTCTTTTTTCTTTTAATATTTTCAATAGAATTAATTTTAATAATTTCTTCAGTATAATCTATTTCAATATTGATGCATTAAGATGTTTTTCAACATCATGACGTACAATTATTTGAATTTCTGAATATGTTAAACGTTATCCCATAAAATATTTGTATTCTAATCGACCTTTTTCGCTTCGTTCCCATGATAATATTTGTAAAAATAACACAATGAATAGAGTAACCATGTCAAATTCTTTCGTTTTTCTTTTCTTCATAACTACAATATCTGTCTATATTCAAAATTAATTGAAAAAGAAACATTTAATTGAATAAACAATATATATTTTTCAAGTATTTATTCAAAACCGTCAATCAATAGGAAAATGTTCGTCAAGATATTTATCGGATATATATTATTTATAAATACCATTATTGCTTTTTCAAAAGACGTATTTGCTGTTATTGTAATTATCCTTATCTTTAGATCGATAGATAGAGAACTGCTTTTATTTTTATTGCCATATTCAGCTCACAGATAAATTTCTCCATGAAAGTCATCAATATCCATGATGGATCATTTTAAAATTTTTAACGTTTTATTTGCAATGTAGAAGACAAATCGTTTATTTCATTTCGAAACGTCATTTTTGAATGGATTTTAAGAAGAAACAAATTTCTAGTAACGTTTATCAATCTGAGAAATAGTCTGACTTATGTGATTCTATTGAATTCTTAACGACGGTCTTCTTCAATAGGCAATTGTAGTTGCTTCTGAAAAAGAAAATCCATAGTCAAAATTCTATGATTTAGTACAATTAGTCGAAATTTTATTTTATTTTTCTGTATTTCTATTATCTATTTTTAAATTCTATTCTCAAATCTTTCAAAAGAGAATAAAACTTACTTATTGTTAATGTTGTCTGCTTATTATTTTTTGTTGAGTTATATGCTTTACATTTAGAGACTTCTATTTAAAATTACTCATTGTTTTTAATATGTTCTGTAAAATACAATCGATGTAATTCTTATGATTAACTCGTAAGTGTAACATGTTTGAGCTGCATCATTTCAATCAAAGATTGAAGACGGTTTTTAATTTATACTTCGTATAATGGAAACTTTTTTCTTGCTTATAACAATTCCATTAAATGTATTTATAATGCTCAGCTCTGTTATGCGATGAAATTTTCTTATCTATTTTTACTTTGTATGAACATTGAAATTGTACTTGGTTTTCTGATTATAATTGCCAAGAAGAAAAAAAAAGAATTTAATTTTTTCTAAGCACCGGACTAAATTTTAATCAATGATATATATAATGAAGCTGTATTTTTTTGCTAATGAAATAATTTCATTATTATTTGAACGTGTTTCATCAATCGTTGTAAACCATGCCATCTCAAAATCAGTCATGTATAATGATAATGCTGTATTATGCATTAAATCTCGACATGATTTACTACAAGGATACATTGCATGTAATTCATCATAATTAATACTTTTTAAACCTTCATATACACTTCAATAAATAAGAAAATGTGTTCCACTATATGCAGTTACTCGTTCAACAATTATAGCAAGATTATCAAGTAATTTCGGATTTTCACCTCTTAAATTTCTAATAGATTATTCAAATATAATCCAATCAAAAATGATATTGTCTATTTAAAACATACATCACATTTTTCATAGACGATTTCACAAATTTAACATTTTCTTTCGAATAATTTATAAACTGATAAAATACTATTTGTTAATTGAACTACTATCTTGATTAAAAATTTTCAATAAATAATCAAATAAAATACAATATGATCAATGTTCAATAGAGAGGGTACGGGTGTAGGCATCCGTGTAGGTGTTCGGGTTGTACACCTCATTCACACCCACATCTACCACCGTACCTACACCCTATTAAAGATCATCAAATAAAACTGTATAGCTTGTTATTAAATGTAGAACAAGCGCTTGGCTTCTTCTATCGTTGACTTTATTTATTTAAACGTTTTTCGGTCTCTGGCAACATGTATATCGAGTTTTAATCCTGCAAATAATTTTTAAAATGCTTGAAGACTGCCCTAATAATGGAAGCATTTGTGTTGTAGCATCATAAGATTAGACAATTCTGATCAAATTGAAACTTCCACTAGCAAATGAGCAAATTTAGAATATAGACTATTCTTAGTGTGTCTCAATAATACCTAATCAATTAAATATTTCAAGTCTATTTGAAGAATTCTTTCAAATTTGTTTCATCAAAAATTGTCAATCATCGATATTTAGGATTATATATCACCTGAAATCTTTATATTACACGGGATATTTGATTAAACTTTCTCGTTTGATATATATTTGTTCATTGGGTAATATTTGAAAAAGTAGTTTTATTTTTACGTCATAAATATTTTTAAAAAATGGAAATCAATCAAAAACAAAAGAAGTTGCTCGAGATTGACTCACAGAATTTTGGGATTAAGAACTCGCATCAATATCGAACTTTTGCACCCGATGATTGTCCCAATCAACCACGACAAGATTGCCATATCGATCAAAAAATAAACCCGTTGGCCCATTCAACTGATTCGCTTGTTGTCCTTGGCCATTTCCACCGACAATAACACTTCCTTCGGTAGCTCCTTTGGGCCAACGCATTATTCGATGATTTCCATAATCGGCCACATATATAGTACCCAAATGATCAACAATAACTCCACAAGGAGATGACACTTGTGTCAAATCAGTACCTTTTCCTCGACCACCGGCCACGACTATTCCCTCTTTTGCACCCTCCATCCGCTTCATCACACGATGATTTAGATGATCTGACACATACAGTGAATGATCCCAATCGACAAACACGTATGTCGGATAATTGAGTTGATCAAGGCGATTGCCTTGTCCATTACCACCAGCGACTATTGTTCCTTGAATTTCTCCTACTCGCCATCGTTTGACACTATTGTGTCTGGTGTCAGAAACATAGAGAAACCCTTGATTGTCCATTATCAAGCCATTGCATTCGATGTCCGATAGAATGATTTGTCCACATGTATAATTTTGGCGAGACCAAAGCATTACTCGATTATTTCCACGGTCACATATGATAAAACCATTGCTTTCTTTATCAAAAATCAAATCTGATGGGTTTTTCAGTTGATTCATCTGGTCTCCTGGTTCATTTCTGCCTGCAATCGATTGACCAATCGTCGCACCACACTTCCATTCCACAATACGATCATTCGAATAATCAGCAATGTAGACAGTTTGATCACCATCAACATATACACCACAAGGGTGTGAGATTTGATCTAATCTATTTCCAGCTCCATTGCCTCCAGCTACAGTAAAGCCATTTTGAGACCATCAAGTATCGAGATTAAGAAGGAAACGGCTCGCACGTAGCGGTACTGTGGTAGAAAAAAATACTAATGATAATTAATGTCAATCAAAACTAATGAAATATACGTAAGCTTTTTGAACAATTTATGAGTTACAACATGATTAGATAACAGCTTTCACTAAAGAAATCTTCCCAGGACGAAGCTAAGCCATCGGATCGTGTCGGGTGGTCTTAATACCGACAGGATCCTATCGGAAGTAACCGGGAATCCCGTGACCCGGAATCCGACATGAAATCCGACTGGATACGAGTAAGTTTTGACCGGATCCTATCGGTTTTCGTCGGATTCCGACAAAATCCGGATCGAATTCCGGGTCACGGGAATCTTTGACCTGGGTTAAAGCTTGATATTAGAAAAATTTGATAGATGTAAAGTGTCCGATCTATAATTTAAATGAACATAATCTCACACAGCAATCATTCATCTATCTATTCTGAATTCCTCCAGCAATATTAACATGTAAATTCTTAATGGGCCTTTTTAACCGTCACGCCTATTCTAGAAAAGTACTTGGTCTTAGTATCTCAGAAAACCTCTTCCTAAAATCGACAGTCACTTATCCCACATTTCCACAAGTTCAGTTACATTTCGAACTTACGCTTAAGCATATCTTGACGACGTTTTTGCAATTCTTGTTGGTGTTTCTGTGAACTTTGTTGAAGTTGATCATTCAACTGTTCAATTGTTTCGTTTGATTGTTGAAGTTGTTTTCGAAGACATATAACATCGGTGTGATCTATAGAAGCATTGCAGCGTTTATATAGAAGTTAACAATCTGCACATGTTATTTCTATCAATGGGCAACGAGTTTCATGCTCAGTTAAATCTTTTTTCAACATCTGTAATTGACATCCAGAGCATTGTTGAGGTTAATAAATACATTGTGCTTCATGTTTATCGAGCGCCTCATATGCAACGTTCTAGAATAAAATGTCAATGAAATAGCGACAGTATTAGAGGAATAAACAACCTTATCGCAACCATTTCGCTGATAAACACAAGCAACCTGTATTTTGGCAAGTTGTTGAGCTAGAAATCGAGGACACGGTCGTTGGATAAATTTGTCACATTTTATTGGACATTGATTTGGATGTATGTCAAGCCATTTGGTGATGCACACCGCGCAAAAGGGAGTCTCACAAGATTGACAAGCGACAGGTTTTCTGAGAATATTGTAACAGATTGAACACAAAATATCATTTATATCGATTCCAGGTAGTGGGCCTAGGGCACGATTAGATGAAAGTCCGTCTTCATCAGTAGATGTCATCTAAAAAAATAAATGATTGCACAATGATTTTATATTTTTATTTATGTCATTCTCAAGAAAAGATTTCCATCATTGAGTTGAAATGTTAAGATGTAAATTAAGTTTTATTGAAGAATATGACTATTTGTCGAGAATAGAGACTGACTATTAGGTAGCACTGTTCAAACTTACAGAAAAACTAAATTTTCTTCATAAATTACCAAATCTCACACTGTTATACAAATGGGAAAGTTCGGGAATTTCAAACATACATGTTCCGAATTCGTCAGCATTTTCCGAAATTGTGTAAATTCCAAAAATCGCCTCCTATGTTCATAAAAGAGTCTGATGCGATTGATACAAAATTTTAAATTTCACTAGCATTGTTTCCATTTGGAAAAAAATTGAAGGGTAAACTAACAAGGGAACATTCCCAGGTGAAGGAGCACTTTTCAGCTGGTGTTTCGCGCATCTTGTAGCCCTTAGTGAGCTATGTCTATGGTAAAAAAAGTTCTGGTTTCTGGCTTGTTTCTGAGGAGATATCGAGCTCTTAGTGAATTTTCTCTATAGTACGCCTACACTGGTAGCAAAGCTATACTTTCGAATTTTGACCTGAAACTTTGCCTGCATAAAGGCCTCAGCTAGACTAATTAGTTTGCATAAAAAATTTCAGAAGTTTTGAATAAAGTCTCTAAGATATGAAGCTTTGAAAAAAATGCATACTATATATATTATTGATGAAAAGGGACTATACCTTGATAGTTTCATATCTTAAAGAGTCTTTATTCAAAACTTCTGAAATTTTTTATGCAAACTAGTCTAGCTGAGGCCTTTATGCAGGCAAAGTTTCAGATCAAAATTCGAAAGTATAGCTTTGCTGCCAATGTCGCCGTACTATAGAGAAAATTCACTAAGAGCTCGATATCTCCTCAGAAACAAGCCAGAAACCCGAACTTTTTTTACCATAGACATAGCTCACTATGGGCTACAAGATGCGCGAAACTCCGGCTGAAAAGCGCTCCTTCACCTGGGAATGTTCGCTTGTAAGACAAATAAACATCAATTAGGTTGATACTTACCTTTCTATGTTACTTACTCTGTCAGTGATGTATGCGACAGTAAGTGAACTAATAGTAACGATTGTTTTTTTTTATATCACTCCGACTATTGCGCAAATATTTTGCAATATTAACTTTTTATTCGAAATATAAGTAGCAAAACTTGTGCGTGGGGCAATTCCAATGTGCTAATGCCATTACTATTCATTCGTTTAGGGAAAAAAAGCTTCAATCAAAGAAATTTTGTCATATAAGATTTCTTTGTGCGCACATTCTCTGTGTGTTTTTTCTTCTTCTGATGGATATGCTCTAATCATCTATTTTTTCTATGACACATTCGAGTGTATTTCAAACATCTATACTGCTTCTTGCTGAAAGAAAAAAAAGCAACAGAACGAAAAACAAACGCAACTAGCTTTCTCATCGTATTTGTTTTTCTTGTGTCTCACCATCTTAGTGTGTCCGTTATAATTATCAGAATATCAAAAAAATACATTGAAGTTCGAACTTCAAAAACTTGTAGCTCATGCTTAATACGGGGTGAGTAAAAATATTTTTCCAGGTGGATATCGCTATGATTTCAAAGAGTATTCATAATAAATTTTATACTAAATCAAGGCGCATCGAAAATGATATTTATCGTCGCTAAATAGTAAAGGTTATGGCAACTTTACAGTGGCGAATTCAGAAAATTCGTAGAGTTTTACGTCATATTGACATCTAAAAAATACTTTCATGATGCAGTTCAAACTAGATCTCCTTGAAAATAATGAGTAACGGAAAGTACTATTTATCTCTTAAGATTTGATGAAGATGATCAATAATCAGTACGACTATCATCAGCCTTCTCTACACTATGAACATGAGATGGATACAAACATAACATAGTTTCAAATAGCTGAATGCTTGTTTCCATGTTAGTTAAAATATCTGAAATGTATTTTGCAGAGTATCTTTACCGTAACGATTGTGTTCCGTTTCACCGATAATTTTATTTTGGGTTCATTTTTTATTATTTTTCCAATATTTCTAGATGCGGTGTCACGTACTTTGTATTATTCATCATTGTCAACGAGATCTAGTTTGAACTGCCTCATGAAAGTATTTTTTAGATGTCAATACGACGTAAAACTCTACGAATTCTCTGAATTCGTCACTGAAAGGTGGCATAACCTTTACTATGTAGCATCGATAAATCCCATTTTCGACGCGCTTTGATTTAGTATAAAATTTATTATGAATACTCTTTCAAATCATAGCGATATCTCCCTGGAAAAATATTTTTACCCATCCTGTATATAACAATTAAACACCTGTTGAGATTGTCATAGTTTTATAGCTGAATCTTTCAAAGATTTAGAAACTACAGTATCTTTAAAACAAGATCGCTTCTTGTCTCATCTGAACGAAAAAAAACCTAAAAGAAAAGATTGATAAAATGCATGACTTCATATCAAAAAAGAACATAGAATATATTAGATTCTGTTTGTTTAATGACGCCCTCTATTTTACTTCGATATCCATTCATATATTTGATACACTTTCCTATTTATGACTCATGTCAAACATATTGCACATTGATAATAAATCATATGTGATTAGGTAGAGAACATTCAATGTATTTTTTTGATATTCTGATAATTATAACGGACACACTAAGATGGTGAGACACAAGAAAAACAAATACGATGAGAAAGCTAGTTGCGTTTGTTTTTCGTTCTGTTGCTNATTCAATGTCACTAATCCCAAAATCTTGGTATTGGAAACAATTAAAATTGTCATTAACATGTTTTTTATGTTGTTTATCGCTTGGATTTTTCTTTTTGATTGATTTTTATCTTGCATTAGTTATATTTATTCTATGGTCACTAATAATTATTAAAAATGCTTATTTTAATCCATTTACTCTTAATATACTCTATTCAAGGTAGTGTATAACATAGGATTTATTATTCGATCGAAAAAAGAAACATTTCAATTAGATTTTTTTTTGAGAATCTACTTGAAAATCCTGATCTTTTATCTCAATATCGACCACTGTAAGTATTCATTCTAGCAAAAAAAAAGATTAGATATTATTTTTCTAATAGTGGTTTGGATTTATTTAATACTCAATTACATGATTATTCAATATCATTTCATGAACATGAAAAAAAGAAATTTCAAAAGGAATTAACTTACCTTCATTCATTTAAAAACAAAAAAATGTCACCCGATCAAAGATATTCATATGATATTTTGGAATATTTTTTGAATATAAATTTAAAGAGAGAACTTAGTGATGAGTTTCAGTATCATAATTATTTAATAAATCAAAAGGCGGGTCCTCAATTAGATATAATCGCATTTATAACAAAATTTCATCGAATATCAAATCTGAGCGATGCCGAAGCTTATCTTATTCGAGTAAAATTTTCTAGATTTTGATCTAATGAATTTGGTTTGTCTTTTTTTTTTTGAAGGTACAAAGAACATCAAAGGCATTGGATCAACTTATTGAGCAACAAATAGAAAGACGTCATAGAAATATTGAAACACCACGATTTGTTTGTCAAAGAGTTATTGATGGTCTTGAAGCATTTCAAAAACAATTACGAGATGAACCAAATAAAAGGTAGAACAAATCGATTGTTTATCATACTTCACTCGAATTTAGTTTTGCTTTTAGTCCTTTAATAATCACTTTCATTGATAAACTTAATGACACAATTTGTTCAGTAAATATTCGAAAAGAAAGAAAATAAATTTTCTTATAAATGTCTTAAAACATTTCTAGAAAGAAAAACAAACTGAATTGATTAGTCGTTTATTAAAAATTATTAAAATAAATGTTATTCCAGCATATGATCGTTTATTAAATATTCTTTATGAAGATTTATCAAATGCTAAAACAGATCATGGCGTTTGGAAATTACCAAATGGTGATAAATATTATAAAATATGTTTAGAATATCATACAACAACAAATATGAGTCCAGATGAAATTCATGAACTTGGAAAAATCCATGTTGAGAGGATTCAAAATGAGATGAGAAAGTAAAATTTTTTTTTGTCTATTATATTTTTGATATTTTTATCAAGGATATTTTTCTATGACGACAAGAAGTTAAAGACATTGTGTCGAGTATATTTTCGAAAAGCACATTCTAGTATGTATTTCCACTGCTTATACAAAAAACTAAAATTTGCATAGTAGATACATCTTTGAAAAGTTTAACTTGTTATACTGTTATCATTCTAGAGGCACAAAAACTTTACTAATATAATGATTAACACAAAAACTATTTAGTTAGACTATTGTAATTTCGAAAGATAATACTTTTTCGCATGGAAATTTGCTTCTATCAACAAAAATTTTAAAATAATACACAAACGATAGTATTCAAATTAGCAAAATCGGCAACAAGTACAGGAGGTGGACCGTAAACATCGTAATGACACAGAAATTTAATTAACTTCATTCTGCTCGAAGATATTAGGCTGATTGTTTTTGGCAAAGATAGAGGAAAATGGGTACATATAGTCAATTGTC